CGGCCCCCCCCCCACAAACCAGTACAGCTGGGAAAAAAACCTGAGGCCTAGACACCCACGTGGCACTCGCCTCCCAGGGGAAAACAAATTGAAGCCCCTCACTACGCTCAATGATCAATGCCGAGACCAGGGATATATATTTGTCCGAAAACAAAAATTTATTCCGGTGAAGAAAAAAAACAAAAGGGAAAAATAAAACGGGAAAGTCTCTGTCCGGAGACTGAGAATCGAAAGTCGCTTGAATCTGGCTCTCAGGGTGCCATTGCCGGGCCCTCGGGAGGCACCGGGACGGGCCCACAGGGGGAGGGGAAGGGGCTCGGCCCCAGCCCCCGTGCCTGCCCTGCCATGTGCAGCCATACAAGAAAGCATACGCTTTGCTTCATCGGGAGATGATGTGGAAATATGGGATTCCTTATCTTTAACTGTGGTGGAACAGTTCAACCCACATACACCTTCATATCCAGTCAACTTGCTCTGTTGGGACAGCAATAATAGATACCTAGCCACTGCTTCTGTTGCTGGTGATAAAATATTTTTTTCAAGCTTAAAGGGAAGCCTGTTACACTCTTCAAAATAGCTGAAGGAGCAAAACAGACGTGTAGCTCTTCACATGTTGTGAGTGGAGGCCTTATAACACAGTAAATATTTGGGATCTGAAATCCAGAGGGGTTTATCGTAGCCTTAAGAATCATAAAGATGAAGTCACGTGTATTACATATAATTGGAATGATTGCTACATTGCTTCTGGATCTTTGATTGGTGAAATTATCCTACACAGTGTGACCACCAATTTGCCCAGTAATCCCTTTGGTTACGGCAGCCGTCAGCCTATTTGACACTTGCAGTACTCATCCTTTGAGAAATCCTTGCTGGACAGTGTTTCTGATATTGGAAATGTAACTCTATGGGATGTAAATAGCCAGAACCCGTATCATAATTTTGAAAATATTCATAAAGGACCAGCTTCAGAAATCTGCTTTTCTCCAGTCAGTAAGTGGCTGCTTGTAACTGTAGGTTTGGATAAAAGAATTATTGTCTATGACACTTCTAGTAAAAGGTTATTGACAACAATAGTAGCAGATCAAATACACCTCTGACATCAATCCAAATAAAATTCATTAAGAATATGATATGAGAAACAATGGATGACTTCAGACAAGCACACCATTGAGATATTGTGAATTTGCAAGAGGAGATGATCAAGCAGTTTCATATGCAGTTGAATGAAATGCACGCTTTACGTGAGAGATGCTCTGTAAATGAAAGCTTAGTAGCTGAAACTGAGAAACTGCAGAAGGAAAGACGGAGGAAAAACCATGAAGGCTTAATGTGCAGAAAAGCTGTCTTGGTGGTGCTGATTCTCTATTCATTGAGTCACCAAGTCTAAAAAATGTACTTTTT